TCCCCATTAAAATAATTCTTGATAGAACTAATAGAAAATCACATGAGAATGGTGATCAAGGACAATAAAGGTAATATTGATTTGAGACATCTATGAAAAAAAAAAAATTTAACATATGTGGGATTATACGATGTCAAAAAGAAAATATCAGTGTTTAATATTAGGTAAATAAATGGTTTTATTCTGGAATATCATACCTTTGATCAAAAATTAGAATATGTATAATATTTGTTAGATTTTATTTATTTTGAATATGTTTTAAAGTCTGTTTTTAAACTTTTGAATATTATAGCGAGGAAGTAAAGAGTGGCGAAAAATGGATTCAAGGCGTATTTATAATACTCACTAAGAAACATATCACGTTTTTTTTACCAATAGAACTGTCTTAAAGATATATCCGTGCGTAGCATTATAAAGTCCTTGAACCTGCTAGAAATTTTTATTAGTAATAAGGTTTATTCAAACAACAATTAATGATGAATTATTCAGAGTTGTAATTATATTAATCGATCTAATAGGAATAAAGTTAGAATCCATTATAACAATTAACTTGCGTAATCTACACCCTCGTTTTCATTTGGATATTTTTACACATGTCAAGATGATGAGACTGCACTAACTTTTTTTATTATTTGAATAATTAACTCAGTATTGGAGGTTAAAAATATTATAATTATGCTTATTTTTTTCTATGGACGATCTCAGTAAACGTTTTTATATGGGCGATCTTGACATCATTTTACGTCATTTGATCAGAGAAAAACACACATTTATGTATACTATTATTTTAGAATGTAAATGATAGGTCCATCAAAATCCGGATCAAGATTGCAATTAACTTTTTTCGTTTTAGGCTTGACTATTTTTCTTGTAATTTAGAAATATTTTATTTTATTATAACAATCATATCGAGTAATACTAATAATAAAACTGATCCAAGTGAAATATTATACGAGGTGTTTTTATATAAGAAAAAGGATATAACAGCTATTCAGAAAAAACTCGGTATTATCAGTAATATAAATCAAACGGCAGTGACGGAGAGCAAGAAAGCGAAAAAACTTGTTGATTCATATGAATTGTTGTTAGAATTGGTGGGGGATTTAATACCCATACAGGGGAAACTTGGTATAGATATCAATCCCGTTTTAGAAGCAGAACTTAAAAGGGATAGAGCCTCTTCAGATAAACCAATTAGATTATTTGATTTGCTTTTATGCTTAGAAGACGATATAGCAACAATTCAGGAAAAAATCGGTATTGTTGGTTATACTAATCAAGAAATGGCAGAAAAAGCCGATAAAAATGTGAGAGTGTACCTCCGAAAGTTTGAAGAATTTCATGGTCCCTTAGAAAATGTTCCAAGTGTGTTAATACAGAAATTCATCAATAATGGTGTAAAGAAATTTTGGTTTACTGGTGAGGGACTACAATTATTTCCAAATATCTCTCCTCAACAATTGCATGAAATTTTTGTCAAAAAATCGGCTAGTGCCAATCAGTGCCCGTGTCTCTGATATAATCATTGATTAATGGCTCGAGCAAGACTATTTAATAAATTAATTCGTTCTGAATCAGTCAATTCTGTTGATACTCTAATTGCAGAAATAAGATCTGTTACAGTTAATGTATTGGTTAAAACCATTCTATTAGGTCCACCGGTAAAGATAACACTTCGAGATACCCTTAATGGATCTGGAACAAGTGGAGGTAGATCAGAATCGGAGAATTCATCATCTGAATAATCTGGATGTTCGATTTTAATTTTTGAATTAAGTTTTTTTACCACTTCATTACTAATCCTTCTACACCCCTTCAAACTAAGATATTTCAAATTAGTACAGTTGCGGGCTATTTCCTCGATAGTTTCATTACCAATCAAACAATTACCAAGCTCAAGATGTCTAAGTTTTGGGCATGAGCGAGCAATTTCTATAATTGGTATGTTAGAGAAACCATCACTTCGATCAAGAATGAGAATACGTATATCTGGACATGAGCGTAGAATCGCACTAATCAACACATCTTTGATTTTTAAACCTTCCAATCTGAGATATACCATCTTTGAACAATAGAGTGGCTTTATTTTTTACACATAACTCTTTTAAAGTTTATCAATCGCCGAGTAAGAACTCGAGGCATCTTACGACCATGCTGACCTCTCTGATAATCTTTTTCTGTAAAAAACTCAATGCGACGCCATAGAATAGGAGCACCGCAGTGATACCAAAAGTGGTTGACGAATAAAGCGGGATAGAGGGATTGATTGATTTCTAAAAAATATAAGATCTGTTCTAGTAATTCTGGTAAATCAAAAATATTTAGACCCTTTGGGTCATTACTCCCTAATAGTTGCGTCATTCTTAAGTAATGTATATATTTAATCGAAAAATAACCAATATTCGGATAATTAATTTTAGGCAGATATACTATGCATTCTCCGGATATTCTCAATTGCACATAAGCTCGCAACTAGTTCCATCATATAGGTCAATGATATCTGATACTTCGTCATATCCTTGTTTTAATATTTGCTTGCGTACGTATTTATTTTTTATATATTTATTTTCTATATATTTATTTTCTATTAATCAAAAAAATAGATATATTTATTACAATAAGTAGAACGATTTATTTTATTCTTCCGGAATTTCACAATCTCCATATAAATATGTCGTTTCCATATCTT